CCAAAAAATACAAAATAATGACCCCCACACTCATCCCAGATTTAAAATTATAAAAAATAAAATTATATTTTTTCTAAAACAACAATAATATTTTTTTTTTTAGAAAAATAGGGGCAAATATGCTCAATTTCATTCCAAAAAATAAAAAAGTTACAATAGAGTACAAAATATTTGTAAGAAAAATAAAGAAAAAAACTTACAAACAAAAAAGAAAAAGAGGAAAAACTCCACCAAATACATCTATCAGATAGTCAAAAAAGATGTAAACTAAGCACAAAAACTCAGCAAACATCAACAAAAAAGCTCTAACTAGAACCCATCTACTGCACAAAAAAACCAAATGAATTGCTGAGTCCAGCAACAACTCGCAGACAGAATCCAACAGAACATGCCACCACGCAGCATCAAGCCTTCCAACCGAAACAAAAAAGCTCCAATTTGCACAGCTGAAGAAAAAACATCCAAAAATCTCCAAACAAGCTAGAGAGCCTAGCAACAGAACATGCCAATAAGCAGAATCAAGCCTTCCAACCTAAACAAAAAGCTCCAACTTGAATAGCTCACAACAACACCAAGCCAAAAAGCATCCAGCTATAAGCAACAAAAGGTCTCCAAAACAACACCCGGACCTAAAAAACCATACAACAACAACAACAACATCAAGCCTTTATCCCACTACGTGGGGTCGGCTACATGAATCCTTTTTCTCCATTGAGTCCTAACTCCAGGCGAAGGAACAGAGAACAAACCTCTAAAAAAGAGCTAAGAATTAATCCATAAGTAAATTTATGGCCATCCAAGGAATAGAACCCGATTGCAAAAAACATTCAATCAGGAAAAACCAATTAGCTCTTAACCAGTTAAATAACCCTTAATGGATTTAAAAGATTTACAATTGGAAATCTTAGCAAAAATACTCGAATCAATTAATATACACAAAGCATTAGATTTAGAGAATTTATTCTTAAACCTTCAAGAATTTTTCCTCTCCAAATAAAGTAAATAAAAAAACAAACAAATAATACAAAAAAAAAAATCTTAACATTAGAATCATATTGTAGAGAAGAAATAAAATCTAACAACTGCTCAAGATTAGGTTTAAACAGAAAGAAATTAATATTAGGCAAAAAACTAGAAATAATACTAAAAGAATAATCACATTAAAAAAAAAATGATAATTACTTTCATCTCCCTTCAAACAAAGGATACAAGAGGTAGAGACTTTAATATTTCTCTTAACAAGAATATCTACCATTTAAAGCCCTTTCGGCATAACCATCCAAGCATAGCAAGAGTATCTCAAAGCATTTTTTTTGTGCCAAAGAAACTCATACCAATCCACTTTATTGAAATTATCATAATAAGCGTTATGGGACATTTTAAAAGAAGGAAGAAGAACTTCATTCCAAGAGATGTGCCAATTTTGAGAATTAGTAATAACAGCATGAAATAAAATATTATTAATAGCCGAAAACAAAGAAGAGGACAAATTCCATTCCCTAACTTGTCATTATGAAAAGAAGAATCCAAATTAATATTTTATGTAGTAACAATCTCATGAACAGACTTCCCCATACACCAAGGGTTCCAATAAAGAGAGAGAGAGAGAGAACTATTAGAAAAAATATTATTGCATTTAATGTCTCTTGCAACAGAAGAGAGATTTTTTCCAAAACATGGAAACAGAATGCGGCCAAGGCTTCTAAAAAGATAAATACTTAAACTTAATCCAAATAGTCAACTGCCTAATATCATTAATAATTCTCCAAATAAGAGAACAACTAAAAGCAAAATTTAGAGCTTCAGGATAAAAAAATATCAAGACCACTATTCACTCTAAGCTTACAAACTTTATTCCAGACAATAATATGAATCTTTATACTAGACGCATCACCATGAAAAAGAAAATTAGAACAAACCTTTTTTATAAATTTGAAACAAAATTTAGATATAAAAAAACCTCTAATCCAATAAAAAATAGTAAAGTTCAAAAATTGAACCATACCAACAAAATAGAGTAATTTAACTTTCCAACTAGCTAACATCATATTAATCGAACTAAATAAAGGTTGAAAATAAAAAACTCTAAGTTTCTTATCAGAAAGAGGTAAACCCAAATATTTTAAAGAATGAGAAGAAATTTTAATGCCAAGAATAAAGCTAATAGCAGCTTCAAGAAAACAGTCTTTTGAAACAATAAGAGAGCTTTTTCAGTGTTGATAAACAAACCCAAAGCAGACGAAAAAGAACCCAGAATATTATTAAGCTTACGGGCATTCTCCAAAGTAGCTTTACAAAAAATGAGTAAATCATCTGCATAAAATAAATAAGAAACCCAAATATTTTTAAGGATGTTTTTTTCAGCGGGACTTCCTTTCAACCTTGCAAGGAATCCTCATTATAAAAATGCATTCATTTTTGCATGTAACAATAACCTCACAGGATATGTTCCACCTGGCTACAATGCATTAAGATCGAAATTATTGGAAAGAGAAAGCACATATTGAGACATTGCTTGAACCAACAAAAGGAGAGTGGAAAGAAAAATGTGTTAGTTTGGTGTGTGATAGTTAGACATATCCTCAAAGAAGTGGCCGTTACAGAGAATTACCCAATGTTCATTAAAGTAGTGAATTGTGAAGGAGAATACAAGGATAAACATTTTATTGCTAATTTGATTAAAGATGTGATAGTCATGATTGGGCCTTCAAATGTTGTGCGGGTTATTACAGATAATGCACCGGTGTGTAGAGCTGCAGGATTATTGGTGGAGTAAACTTATCCCTATATATTTTAGACACCCTGTGTTGTGCACACTTTAAATCTTGCTCTAAAAAATATTTGTGCAACAAAGAATACAGAGGCTAATGAAATCATCTATGCTGAATGTTATTGAATAACAATGGCTGCAGATGATGCTGTTCTGATAAAAATTTTTATTATGAACCATTCTATGAGACTTTCAATATTTAATGATTTCTCCCACTTGAAAATGCTAGCTGTTGCTGAAACTCATTTTGCCTCTGTAATAATCATGCTGAAAAGATTCAAACAAATTAAAAATGCTCTTCAATCTATGGTGATTACTGAGAAGTGGTCTTGCTATCGAGAAGAAGATGTTGGGAAGGCAGGATATATTAAAGAAAATGTCTTAGATGATTTGTAGTGGGATAATGTATACTACATTTTGACTTTCACTTATCCAATTTATGATATGTTGAGAGAGGCTGACACAAATAAATCATGTCTACATATGATTTATGAGAAGTGAGACTCTATGTTAGCAAAAGTGAAAGAAATTATATACAGACATGAAAGAAAGTCATATGATGAAGTCTCAAGTTTTTGGAGCATTGTCTATACTATTCTTGAAGATATGTGGAGTAAAAGCAACACACCTTTGCACTGTTTGGCTCATTCATTAAATCCAAGGTATATTTATATTTATCTTTTAAATTAATTTAAATTTATTGGTAAATGAATATATAATTTTATATGCTTTGTAGTTTGTATTATTTGAAGATATTCAAGTAAAGAATGGCTTCAAGAAGACCCTCAGCGTATCTCATCACAAAAAGATTTAGAAATTTCAAATATGAGAAATATATGCCTAAAAAGATATTTTTCAAATGAGGAGGAGAGAAGAAAAATTAATATAGAACTTACAAAATTCTTTGGATATTTAGAGGATTTTGGTGATCAAGAATCTTTGGTTGATAGATGGAGGATGGATCCAAAAATGTGGTGGTTGATTCATGGAGCTTCATAAGGAAAACCCCACTTTATATGACAGGTGATAACAAGATGTGGGATGTTGCTGGAGATGGGTTCGAGTGCCTTGATGATATGGGATTATTGGAGTTTGCAAATCTTTCTTTAGATGAACTAGAGTTGGAAGCAATGATATTCAATGATGATGATATTGAAGGCCAAAGACTATCATATGAATCTAATTTTATTATTCCCTCTATTGAGTAGTTAGATCTTCATGTTATATTAAATAATTTTTTGTTTATATTTTTGTGCTTGTACTAGACATTTTATAATAAACATCTTTATATTATAAGCTAAACAAGTTATCATGAAATTGATTTATTATTGCTTGACATTTTTACTATAATGTCACCTTAATTTTTATATATTATATTAGAAAATTATTATGCCGTGTCCACGCCGCACCCGTGTCCTATATTTTTAAAAATTGCTGTGTCCCGTGTCCGTGTCGTGTCGTGTCGCCGTGTCCGTGTCGGTGCATCATAGTGACTAGTAATAATGATAGAGTTAAGAGAAATAAAAGAAGTATTTCATTTTAACCAAATTCTACCAACAAAAGAAAAATAGAAATTATTACAACAACCTTCTTGCTGAAAAATTTTGTGATCAGCATCAAACCAAAGATTACCAACAAGATCAATATTCACTTTAGCTTCAAGAATACAATAAAATGCAGCCTTAACTTTATCCAAACAGTTAAAACCTCTCACATTCCAAGATTTAATATTTGGAAAAACAATTTAATATTTCATGTTCGAAGTAGAAGACTTCCCAGCTACTTTAGATCTGGTAGATTTACTAGTAGCAATTGGTATTTTAAAATTAGATTGATAAAAATTACACACAATAGATGTAGCAACAGAAATAGAAGAAGAAACCCCCTTAAAACACAATGATAGTAAACATCAACTTAAGGATTTTGGAGACATGGAAAAAATTTTTCACAAGCCTTCTATGCTGTCTTAGCACCTCAATCCTAATGCTAAACAGCCTTAACATATAGCTCCGAAAAAGACTGCCCTGCTTTGGCACTAAACTTTTCAAATTTTAAAACAAATAAATAAAAGCTGCCATAAATTCAAACAGAAAAACCTACGAATAAATACAACACCCTTCTCCAAAAAAAAAAAAAATGCAACACCTATAAATTAGTGACAGCTAAACGACCTAGTTTCCTAGTTTCCTGGTTAGCCAAAAGACAAAAAGACGTTGCTAAAGACAGAAAAAAGCATCAGAAGTGGGGAGAATTTCTGAGATTTAGTAGACAAAAAAAGGCTTTTTGTGAGGGCAATAAAAACTAAAATCTGTTCTGTATTCGAATGAGACAAATGACCACCCATATCTCTAATATATACATGATTGCTGTTGCATAAGCAACCAGTTGAACCACTATAGGCATCTGTATCATACAACTCCATAAATGCTTATCATTGTTCTTTCCAACGTCAGAGACAACAGTTAGTTGCCCAGCACCGAACCAACGAGCTCCCAACCAAGGACAAAAAATTCCTACTGCGAACAAAAGAAATATTTAATGCGAGGTACAAGGCACGCATCATAGAAAGCAGGAATGAACATCAAACGATAGATATAAACTGCTTCAAAAATAAATAAGAAAAAAAAGCATTTTCAATGTTTACCTTGTCCTAGGCTATCATAGATCATGTTAGATTCATAGCCTGAAAACAATGGAACTTCTGCACTTTTTCCGTGTAATACTTTAAAAAATTTGTTTGATTTCGAGAAGTTTGACCTCCTTGGGAAGGTCTCCTCCTCTTTGCCATGCGGAACAAAACGTCCTCCGTATCCAAAACATAGGAAACCTACAGCAGATGCATTTCATGTGAATTTGGGAAGCACAAGGTATAAATTGTGTGCCCATGCAAAATAGTTATATGTTTATCAAACTGCTTTGGAATTCACTAAAAGTATACCTTAGATGTGAGACTTGCTATCTTGCATTCCAGACCATTGAAAATTCGAAGACCATTCAAGGCCTTGCAATAAATAGAATCCTCGTCATCATCATTTCTGAATTTTCTCTTGTTCCTACATGATTAATGGACAATTCAGCAACTAGTAGAAGTTAGATTCTCAAGTCTCAGTTTACAATTGGATGTTTTCCACACCTTCTCATGAAAATGCCAAGCCTCTCCTTTCTATCTGAAATACTAGAAAGGAAATCGTTGTACAGATAAGATGAAAAATTGGGTTCTATAGAAACAGCTGTAACTTCTGGTTTCTCCAGACCATAATCCATCAACTGAATTGATATCTTAGCCGGATTTGAAGACTGCATTCAATCAGCAAAAAATGCAATGAAATGAAGTGAACATGTAAAGACTACATCAATTATTGCATGGACAGACAAAAGCAATAAAAGTATATTTCTGCAATTCAAAAGAGTTGGGGCATAGCAGCAGAACGTGCACAGTATAGGAGAAACGCACTACGAGAGAAGGATGGCCAAACTTACGCATTCAAATCGATATACACTCTCATCGTGAAGGAGAACACGTGCATTTTCATGATATACCATATCAAAAAATCGTCCAGGTCGTCTTGACTTTTCATATAAATAAAGCTGACGAAGTTTATTGTCCACGTCATCTGCTACAATTGCTTGAAGCTGAAAATAAAAAGCAAATAAAAATTAGTTCAAGACAACACGATTCTTTAAGATCAACAAAAAGCAATTTTATAATAGCAAATCTACCTGCTTAACGACTTTATAAATCAATTTGTCCAACGTGAAAAGCAGATAGGACTGGGTGCCAATAATAGCACGACAATCATCTTCAAATTTTGTATTATCGGCAGTGCCATCAAGCAAGCTGTACAATGCAGTCGTAAACCTGCACCTCTCAAACAAAGAATTGATTTCTAAAGCAAAAAACAATTAACAAGACAATTACTCTTAAAGTAATATGACCAATCGTATAACCGAAACTTACTTGACATATAAATCAGGATTGGTTGCATCCTTCGGAAATCTCCACTTTCTTTCTGCAAATGCTGAATTTATCTTTGCTGAGAGAATCCTTTCATAAAAAGTCTGCAACGAGAAAGTTATTTGTAGTTTATTTTGCTTGTATTTTCAGGAAGGACATATCCAAGTACTTTAATCATAGAATGAAGAAATAGGATACAAACGGTGTTTTGGGAACATTTGCAGATTAAAAATAAGGAGTTAGGGATGATATGGGTTGGTGTTTCTGGAGGTGGTGGGGGTCTGGGATGTTCTAAGTCACCTGATGAAGTCTGAAAAGAACGTAAAATGAATCATTGCCGTAAAAGATCCTTGAGCATCTATCGCCCTTTTCTTGTAATGCAGCAGGTACGTGCTTTGCAAGTGGTTTCGCAGTCTGCAGGAACTGTTCCGAAAAAGGCAATGAAGTTATTTCACCCTCAGCATCATTTGCTATTCCATCAGCCTCACCCTCACTTTCACCCTTAGCATCATGATCTTCATGATCCGCATCTTCTTCCTCATGATCTTCATGAGAGCATTCATCACCTGATTCACTGCCTGAAACATCCTCTCTTGCTTCAGATGCATTTCCACTGTCCTCTGTAGATCTCTGAACGCTTTCTTCACCCTCGTCATCTGCATCATTCTCTCCAGCAGTATCACCACAGGCTTCAACTTCTCCATCTCTAACCTGAAATGTTCTGTTAGCAGAACCACCCTTTTGTCTAGTAGATGCATCCATAGCATTATCCTCAAAAGCCACAAAATTATCCTCTTCAAAATCTCCATTAGGTGATAACTCTCCCTCCTCCCTCTCATTTTGAGAACCAACACCTCCATGGTAGCGATTGGCTTTACTACTTTTGGTAATGCAGTTGCCATTTGTCACTAATATTGATCTTGCAGTATCCCCTCCCTGAGGTCGAGGGAAAAGTCGAGATTGAATGCAACAGTTAAAAAGGGAAGAGAATAAGCTTTTTATAAATGGACAAAATGCAACATGAAATTGCTTCTCTTAGCTAAACAAAATCAACCACAAGACCGATCACAAACAAAAACAACTACAATACGGACCCTCCTATCACAACTAATGAACATGTTAAGAAAGAAGGACCGCACAACATGCTGATCAAGCTTGCCAATTTCACTGGCCATCCCTTTACAAAGGGAGTGATTGTAATTTATGCAACTGTACGGGAAAATATCATATGAACCCAAACACAAAAATCACATGAAAGAGTATTAATTATTACAATAAAAGAGGAGATGTAAACAATTTGAAGAATATCTACAACTTTTGGTAGTTGAGAGAGAAGGCTTTTGGAAAATATCAGATGCCTAAAACTACAGGTATTTTTGGGAAGAAGACGAATTGAGCTAAAGACTTCTTGCTTTTACATTATTAAAATTTTCCACTCCTTCATTATGACCTTGGCCTCAAGGTGAAATTGAATGTGATGAGATTGGGGAGGAGATTACTGTTGTACGTAAGAAAGCTCAGGTTGGGCGGAGGCAGACCCTGGCTTGGAGTTGGTTAGCGTAGCTGGGAGGAAGAATAATTTGGTTGGAAGTGGGGCATTTACAGCTGTGATAATGAAATCGCAATTGAGCAAAGTTGGTAGATCTGACACTGTTGAGATCAGCGAGATTCAGGTTGATAGAAGAGGAGAAATGTCACAAAAAATGGGTGTGGGTCACCAAATCTATGGGAAATGCATGGAGCGGAGGCAGATCTGTACTGGTGCGATGATTTGAGACTCGATCTTATGAATGGTGTGGTTAAAATGCATGGGGATCGCAAAATATAGCAATTGGATGGATGATTTCATACAACTGGATATGGGTAGAGATGAATCAAACAAGGCAAATTAAGTGGATGCGAGGTTGAATCTATTCGCAAACTGGACAAAAGCGACTGAAAATCCTTGCGATGGGGACAACTGCATCAAGTCATTAACTTGGAGCGGGAAAATTTTTGGAGGATGTCTCGTCAAGCTAGCTCATGTGTCTCTTGTTTTTGCATGTTTTGAATGGGATGGAACGGAATTTGGGATGTCAGTTGCGAGATGAATCCAGTGAGATGAATCAATGCTTGTGGATGATTATGAGGTCAAGCTTTGGCAAGGTTTCAATAATGCAGATCTAGCATATCAAGATGGGGAGCATATCAAGATTGGGATTGGACAATGCAAAAGTTGGAAAGCCACAAATCTTATGGGAAGACGATAGTATCAAAGGTAGCAGCCAACAAGAGAAACCGAACAATAGCACCATTGATACAAACACAAAAATTATCAAAAATAGTAAAACTATTACATTAAAAGAGGATAACTAGATAACTTATAGCACGTCCAGAGTTCCTGGTAGATAGGGGAGAAAGCATTAGGCAATAAGGAAAGCCTAAAAATACGTAGGGTGGGGTAGAAGGGATTGAGCCAAAGGCTCCTACATTATTTTTGCTTGATGCAACTCCTATGTAAAAATTGCTGAAATTGAATAAAATAAAGGTTTCAAATAGATCTTCATGTCTAAAGATAAAAATACAAGCAAGTATTACCAATAATATTTTTTATTAGAAACAAAAAAATGATAAAATCATTATTAAAACGCAGTAAAAAAAAAAAACTTCGCTGTGTACCTCTAAAGGAGGCAAAACGTCATTGTGAGCACGAGGCTCAGCTGCAGCCTCAGTACCAGTATGACTGGACTTTGTTGTTGCACTAAACCCTGAATAAAAATAAAAACAATTATTAAACTAGATTAAATTCTAAACAAGTAAAGATAAAGAAGGATAAGTGAGCTTTAGTACACTAATCAATTTTTACCCGACACAATACAAATATTTGATTGCATTCTGGAAGAAGCAGGAACAATATCAATTGAACGTCCACCAGGAGCAACATGCATGGTTATAACAGACCTTTCATATGCATTTGCACTAGTCTGAACTCGTCCTTGCACCGGAGTTTTTGAGATATTATCATTTTGAAGAACAGGTCTATCGCTATCATGAACACCATTGTCAAGAACCACTGCTTCTACATTTGCAACTCTAATCTTGCCTGTTGCCTGTTCTTGAATAATGCCACCATCACCCTTAACAGACTTGTTATTGGCTATAAATCCATCAACATCGGGAAAACCATTGCTTTCTCCTGCATTTGCTACACTAGTTTTATTATGAACTTTAATTTTTGAGACACCTTCAGTATCCTCTATTCCCATAGGGCGAGGAGGGACACCAAATATTGGCTCCAAAAAGGTTGTCCATATCCTCATGACTTTGTCCAACTGATCTGAAGATGCACATACTTCTCGGCTTGAATATTTAATGATCTGATAGAGATCATTGAAAATATTTGGATCTGCATATTCAAATTCAATGCTGGGAATTATAGGTCTCCGATTTCCAGCAGCAATAGCAAGAAGCACATCATCCTCCTTCCTCTTCTTCTCACTAATTTCTTTAATTTCAGACAGCAGAGCTGCATGGAGGAAAGCAGAAATAACAATGCATGATAAAGAATGACACAACAATTCATGACAAACCAACAGATCACAACTTATCTTTCTACTAGAAGTGATAAAAATCTAGCATTCCATTATTTCTTATCAAAAACAAGAAAATTCAGCTAATGGCACAAGACAAAATTAGCAGAAGTAAATTTCCACATACCTTTCGCACTCAAATTCTTTGTATCTTGTTGCTTGAAATAGAAACTACGATGATCAAGTGATTTGTGATAGTTCTTTGAATAAATTTCTGCCCACACCTTATTAAAATCTGCACGGCACTTTGACCATTCCTCTTGCTTTTGCTTCAGACGAGTCAATATTACAGGTAATGCAAGGCTAGCATTCTTCCGTAAAACATCCATAACATCCAGCCCATGATCTCCATATAATCGTTCGATGCACCTTAAATTTAGAGCTGTACCAGAAAAGAAGAAGAGGATCAGCTGCACGGCATATGCATCAAATATAAGGGGATGCGAAATGGAGCATTTTTTACGATGCACACTAACATGTAAAATGGTCCTCAATGTGAAATGGAGATTCCGGCTTGATGGTGTTATCCTGCATCTTCTCCAATAGTTCCTCCACTCGCTTAGTAGCAGCATTTACTGATTCTAGTAACATGTCCAGCTCAAACCTGTCATACCAATTCAAAAAAATAAAAAAATCCGATTTCTAGCTTGCAAAACTTACATATTGCAAATAAAGAATTGATAGAAACAATATTAAAATTCAATAGAGATACTTCAAAGTAATAGAATGTGTTGACCTTAACACTAGTGTCGGAGACGGGTTGACCGTGCACGGTGAAGTTTGAAAAGATTAATTAGTTTTATTATTTAGTCGGTTGTGGTGTTATATGATTTTGTGTATTCAATTTCTAATGTGATTTTGATAAGTCATGTAGTGAGTTTTGGAATTCTTTAGTTTGGACTATCCTAGAGCAACTGATTTTCAAAATTTTGAAGATTTGGAAAGATTTACATGGGACTACCCTACGATAGAAGATTTTGGATTTTTTCCCGTTGCATCACTAAAACCTTATTGTTATAATTAGGGGTGTCAAAACGGGTCAACTGGTTGGATTCGGGTCCAACTCGAATTGACCTGGGTCCAAACAGGTTGACGCTAACCCGACCCAATTTTACAACGGGTCAGCAATTCCAACCCGGACCAAACCGTCAGGTTACCGGGTTTACCCAACCCAATCCGCTAACCCAGGGGAGCGTGGTGCATGCGAGCGCCAAGCGGGAACAAGTCTGCCGTCTGGCCGTCTGGGTGAGGCCTATGTGTGGACGAAGTCATCGGTAATTACGATTTTGAACCGAAAATAAGCACTGCTTAGGTTGTCGATGAAACCGTCAAAACTCCCCCTTTCTTTTTCCTCCTACACCGCAGTTGTTGGTCTCTTCTCCTCTTTCTCCTCCCCGTCTTCATCCTCTCATCAAACATCTACGCTGCTATCCACTACTCCAACTTCACCGAAGCTGCCTTCCTCCCCCCTTTAACCGCCTCTGCCTGCTCCTCCCTCCTCTCCAACTCCTCCTGCAACCTGACAGCGACCCCGTCCACCTTGCCATTGGAAACCGCCCCTGCCAATACATCGACAACCTAGGCACCTCCGCACAACCTTTCTCTTCCCGCACAACCTCTCCCTTCCCCGTCTCCGCTCCTTCACCCTCTACATAATCCAAATCCTCCAAAGCATTGACAAACTAGGCACCACCGCATCGATGGCTTCGTCCCCTGCAAAACATCAGCAACCGAAGCCAACCTGAGTCCTTTCAGGTTGTTTTCGGGTTTCCGGGTCAATCTGAGCCCAGCATGGTTTTATAAACGGGTCAGAATCTCGAACTCAAACCCGACCCGTATGGCAAATGGGTTGACCCAAACCCGGAATTTTCCGTGTTGGGTCCTGATCGGGTTTTGGGTTGAGTCAAGTTTTAACACCCCTAGCAGTAATACATTGTACTGTAACTTAACAATTCAAGTGGATCCTGCAATTTTGACTTATTCAGTTGCTGCAACTTCTACTAAGCAATCCCTGAAGCTAGTCTTCAGGAAACAATTTGTTAGCTGATTCGTGTAGCCTCCATAGTTTGATTCCTGCATCTGGTCAGGGATAGGCTCCGCCTATCTTTATTCTTTGTCTAATTACAAGCCACGATACCTATTACTATTCAGCATCATTCCTGCTTACTAATATGCCACCAAACTGTTGAATTTGTCAAGATTTCGATGTCAAGAATTGGTTTACCGACATGCCTCATTCCGGGAAAAGATGTAAGATAATGACCAACAATGAAAATAGATGATTATAAATATGTGATCATTGAGGCACGTAGAGGGATAAATTGAGTCCAATCATTTTTTTCTTTGCAGTTTTAATATTGTAAGTGCAAATTATGTGTAATTCATTCAAAGTGTGGTAAAAATGTGACAATCTAATTCAAGGTCAAATCATCTCCTTGTTCTAATATAAGGCTTGAGGTCTACCTTTATTTGTTTTTTTTTTTTTTTGGAAATTCATTCCTTATTATATTTCATCTGTATAATTTACTTTAAACTTGTTTAATTCTCTTGATTTTATACAAAAGGTGGTAACACCGTAAATCTGATTTGTGAAAATCAATTCAATTTTCTTAATTTGAATTGTTTCCAATTTGCTTAATTAGCCTAAAACTCTAGTATCGTTTGTATTCATTAAAGTGAGTTGTTGAATTTATCGGTTGCTTGTGATCAATGGATCCTATATATTCTTTTACATTAAAACATACTACAAATTATATTAATTGTATTAGGAAACCTAACTCTATTTTGCACTACATCAAATGTGCAAGAAAAAATAAACTTTGAAAATAAATCATTTCCTTCACGAGATCATATAAGATGATGAGATGGAATGGATCATATTAGAAAGTAACATTTTGTACTTAAGGGATTCTTTATGACTTGATACATAGAAAGAATATATTCAAATTATAGACAATGCATTCTAGTGGCTGAATACAGTAATACAATTGTTACCTATCATCCTCGCATCTAAATAAGCTTTCCTCATATTGATTTTTCCGCATGTGTTTAAAAGAATAATCCTCACTTCCAGAAGTCACTGATACCCAAACATCATTCAGTAGAGATGCACCAAGCGAAGTCCTTTGGCTTGCAGCAGGAATTGGGTACTGCAAATAAAAAACAATGCAGCAAAAGCAAATTAAAGGTAGTTCATAAATGCACAAAAAATAGCATCAAATCAAACAAAGAAAATATAGTACTTACATTCTTTGGCAGTAGGCGGTAACTAGGGGTACACTGTTGACAGTTTGATAAATCAAGCTCTGAAATTGGTTTGTATAAATTAAACTTTTCTTTTGAGACCAAAGGACCTTTGTGATTAGCTGTATCCTTGGAAATATAACAACCTTTGTCACATCGCTCCTTATCTTTATCTCTCTCTCTTTCACGGTCTCTATCTCTGTCATCTCTTTCACGCTCCCTTTCTCTTTCTCTATCCTCCACCTTAACTAATTTAGCCTTATGTCCTTCACTCCACAAGGGTTCTGCTATCATAAAAAGTAACATGATTATGTTTTACATACAATACAAAATGGTGATGCTCAAATATTCAAGTTTACTTAGGACACTTGCAGGCTAAAAAGGTAACATAAATGACACTTATGAAGTTTGAGCATAGGGTTTTTGGCATACTTTTATTGAAAACACCCGCAAGGAATCCATCTGCATTGGATATCTCAATTAGAAATTCCGGAAAATAAAAAATCCATACACATCAATAAAAAGGAAGTAGCAAAAGTACTAATATGGCAAGCTCCAACCTTACCCATATTCTCACAGTGGGCTAAAAATTCATTGAAACCCTCCATCAGATCAGAATATTTTCCAAGGATATCACTAACCTGAAAATCACGCCGAACAATTTCAAGCAAAAATCAAACAGAGAAGGTTTTCTTTTTAGCTGGATCAAAAAAATATGACTATACAAAATATGGATATTGTGCATGCATAAGCAAGGAAACACATGCAGCCAACCCGCACTTTTTCACTTACCAACACTCCATATATGGGTAGGAGCTGATAGATTCATCAGACACATTTTCATTAAGATGTCATTATCAGAAATAATACAGTAAACTGGAAGTTAAAGTTGAAATCAACTTAGATGCATCTGTTCCTCGAAAGATTAGTAAATCATCATAAGCCAGAACAACTAACAACAATGACTCCAGGAAAAAAAAAAATAACAGATAAATCCAAATAAAACTGAATTTTCACTTCCTCCGACCTGCCAAAACCTATTAATCAATATAACACTGTACGATTTAATACCATAGCATAAACCATTATAATAGCTTCCAAATGCATAGTTTCAGTTTTTTTGGTCTAGATGGAATGCAATAGGACAGCATTTTCAAATTTAAAATTAAATGCAATATAGCTTGCGATCATTTCCTGTACTTTCTTGGAACACAAAATGTTATTTAGATCACCTTGCAAATGCACTGCCAAGTATATTTCTGGCATACCAACCAACTGGAGAAATTAAACCTTCCTAAGCTATATATATATATATAAAGTCACACTTGCGGAGAAGGGAGATTCATACCTGTTATAAGTGCAATTAATCAACTCCTGCAGATTTTAATTAAAAAAAGTGCTCTTAGATGCAAAGGCCAAAATGTCTGGCTATCCCACAAAAACCTTATTGACAGTATTTGGTTTTAACACTGTTTGCAGACAAATGAAACCAAAATATGAAAAATAACATAATGACACAAAGCACAAGGATCATACACTCATACGCTGTTGTGAACCCACAACATAAGCTGTAATTAGTTAGTAACATTGCAAGTCTATGATTATTATATAAATCATTCTAGTAATTAGTGTTAATGAGGATGGCTTTACTGTTAGATTTGTACTCTATAAACACCCCATTTGGAGAGACCATGAGCATATTAAGAGGATGAATGTGTTTTCTCCTCTATGAATTGTTTGTTCTTTGGGAAGTTAAACATCTTGAAATGTTCAAAATGAGATCGAATTCTTATGAATAGTGCTTTCGTTGAGAGTTGTAATTAGTTAGCAATATTGTAAGCCTATGATTAGCATCTAGACTATTATTCTAACTAGTGCAAATGAGGATAGTTAGTTTGTCAGTTAGATTTGTATTCTATAAATACCCATAGTGAGGAGAAGATGAGCATATGAAGATAAATGAATATATGTTTCCCTCTTTATATTTTGTTCTTTCTTTTGATGTTTGAACAACTCAAAATATCCAAGATAACATAAGGTTCTCATCAATGTTGTGAATTAATTATGTAAGTTATAATTAGTTATAAGTAATATAGCAAGTCTTGTATTGGCATCTAAAACATTAGTGTAATTAGTTTTAATGAGAATGGTTAGTGAGTTAGATTTGTGCTTTATAAATACCCCATTTGAGGAGAAGATGAAAGTATGAAGAAGTGTTAAATCTCAGCTGTCCTTCAGCAGATTAATCCCACGGCTAGGATCGGGATCCGTGGGAGGCTCACCAAGATGTTGAATCTAAGTCATCCTTTAGCAAATTAATCCCAGAACTATGATGGGAATCCGTGGGAGGCTCACCTGGATCACGCTGATCTCTTTCCATAGTTAAGTGGCAGATTTAGGAAGGATTATGTTAGTGCAATAATGCATGATTCTATAATTTATTTATTTCTTTATTAGATATCATATATAGATCTATAAATAGGGATAGATTTGTGCAATAAAGCTAAGCTTTTTCCTCTCAATTCTTTGAATTTCACATGGTATCAGAACCATGGTCAGCCTTCTCTTTCCCTCACTGTAAAAAATGTGCTTCACATACCTCAATTATCCACAAACCTAATCTCCATACAAAAATTTACCAATAATAATAATTGCCAAGTCCTTTCTAACCCTACTTGCTTCTTATTTCAGGACTAGGGATCAGCAAAGAAGATTGGACGTGCTAAGTAGAGAGATGGATTGTACAACCTCGAAAAGCTGAACAAATTTTATAGTATCAATAATGGCTATCATATGTTATCTTTATTTCATAAAATAACTACTATTTGGCTTCAGCACTTAGAATTAGGCCATCCATCTTTTGATGTCTTAAAAAATATGTATCCAAAACTTTTTTATAAACTGGATAGTACATATTTTCATTATGAAACTTGCGAGTTAGCCAAATATAAAAAAGTTTTTTTTTCAAACAAAAATGAGAGATGTGATACCCCTTTCTATCTTATTCACAGTGATATATGGGAGCCCTAAAAAATTCCCAACATCTCTGAGGCCCAATGGTTTGTAATCTTAATTGATGATTGCACTCGAGTCTCTTAGATCTTTATCCTCAAAAACTAATCCAATATGAGCACTATTATCCCCAATTTTCACACCATGATCCAGAACCAATTTGGGGTAAAAATAAGAAAATTTTGTCTCGACAAAGCTAAAGATAACTTTAATCAAATCTTATCCTCTTGCTTTCAAAAAGAAGATATTATTCATGAATCTTCCTGCGTTCACATCCCAAAATAAAATGGGTTTGCGGTCACCTTCTAACCTCAAATCATGCAATCCTATTCCACCATAATGTACCCAAATGCTACTCGGGAAAGCCCTTCTAACTGCCAGATATCTCATAAACCGACTACCAATGGAATTATTCTTTTTATCTTGAATTTCGAACCCATAATAACCTTACACCTAGTATCTTTGGGTGCACTATCTATGTTCACATTCAATAGCTAAAATAAAGAAAAATTAGATCCAAAAGCACTCAAATATATCTTTGTTGGATATTCATCCACCCAGAAAAATTATAAGTGTTATCATCCCTCCATCAAGAAAACCTTTATATCTATTAATGTTACTTTTCATGAACAAAAATCCCATTTTACCCAATCTCATCTTCAGGAGAAGACTGAAACTGAGAAAGATGAGAAAAATGAACTTGCCCCTCTTGACCTTCCAGCTCCACCCCAAACCAATCCACCTAAAACTGAGGACAAAATCGTTTTTGATAACAAGAGGTTTCAAAAAGTGAATTCTAGGCGTATAAATCCAAACTGAGCTCCATAGCAGATCCAAAAAACTGAATCATCTCCTTAAATTGAGGTAAACATAAGTTCACAAAAAAAAACCACCCTTGTACCCCATAACCAACTTTGTATCCTTTCATAATTTCTCACCTTCACACAAAAAATTTCTGATTACACTAAATGATATCCATATTCCTAATAATATTTTTGAGGCCTTATCAAATGAACATTGAAAAACTGCCATGAAAGATGAAATGCAGGCCCTAGAGAAGAACAATATATGGGAAATCACTAAGTTACCAATAAGGAAAAAAATTAGTCAGCCACAAATGGGTGTTCTTTATGAAAATACAAAGCCAATAGCATACTAGAAAAATATAAGGTAAAACTAGCGGCGAAAGGATATACTCAGACATACGACATCGACTACCAGAAAACTTTTGGGCCTATGGCCAAGATGAACACCGTTAGGATCCTACTCACTAGTAACTAATTATAATTGGCATATGGAACAGCTAGATGTCAAACATGCATTCCTAAATGGGGACTTAGAGGAAGAGATATTTATGTAGATTCCACCAGGATTTATGGAGATTCCACTAAGTCCTTGAAAATCTCCCTAAGAATATCGTAGGGTCATGTTTCTACAATAAAGTAAGAAACCTAATTGCCCTAGGAGAGAAAGTCAACCGCACTAAAAATAGAGATTAACACATATGCATACAATTACAAGTATTGAAAAAAGGCTTGTTCACACATAAATATTGTGGGCTCCAAAAATTCGGCCCCGACCTCCACCCACAGCTTTCTTTGTCGGGAGTTTTAATGGAATTAAGCTCCGGGGTAAATTTTGGGAAGGCAGATGGGTTTGTAGATAAGACACTACCTAGAGATTTCACCCTCATTTTGCGAGGACTTTATGATCTGAGTTCTGGTTTCCTATAGGTGCATGCCCCTATAGTTAATTACCCCTCTCGATAGCGAGAGAGAACTTTTGATTCAGGCTATTCGTCGATCAAATACGTTGTATCCATAGATATGTAGTATCAGGTGTATAGTAGCAGCATGAGCTTAAGAATTGGAGAGTTTGGAGGTTTGTATTTAAAATTAGAAATTTCACCATTTTGTATTAAAAGCGGATGGTGGGGGAATGGATGATGGACCCGATCAAGATCCCATTGTTCCGTTGTCCCAGGCCATCGTGATCCCTGGTCTACTTAGTTAGAGGAGGTAGTTGACTCAACCTCACAGAAGGATCATTGTCGACAGCCATGGGTTGCTTCGTCCAAGGGTACCTTGTAGACTTGGGGTGAATGTTTGTCTAAGATAACAATTTTGAATCCACCTTAGCTAACAGAGAGATTTATACCCTATCGATTATATTCTATTGATTTATATCTCAAGGAATTGATGTCACCAAAGAACATATTGACTCTGGCCATAACCACTATCTCGTGTTGCCATTTGGTGGCAAAACCACTAAGTTCAGAGGGCCCTGGATCATAATTGTTTATCATGCGATATCATTTGGTGATAAAACCATCGGTTAGATGACACGTACTACGTCCTTACTGGCAGGAGATTATTTGAGAATGAATCATAGTTATATTTTCAACTAGGCATTAGCTCTATGTGAGTTGAAGTTATTTTCAAATATGTCCACCCCGACAAACTGTTGCGGAGGGTGGATGAGTTTTATTTTAAGTGATTTGATTGATTATTTCAACTTTATATATTTTGGATTTGGATGATCTTTGGGATTTTGGATTTTCGTGCATTTGAAAATATTTATGACCCTCTCCGGTTGAGATCTTCGTTCAATACGACCATTATTGAGGTGT